AGGTGCCTCTTGCTCCAATTTCCTATTACTGCTGACCTCCTGCTTAATAAAAACAACAAAAAAATTGTTTCTAAAAAACTCTATTTCTTTTTCTTCCATTCTCTCTTGAACCCATTCAAAGTTCCGTAACCAAAATTGCATCACATCTGTTCGAGACCACAAACGGGTGCCGCGCTGTAATTTGTTATTTACCCCTTCTGCATCACCTTGCGGATCACACCAGACTCAGATAGACGATCGCTTTCTTGTTGAGATGCCTTCTTCATTTGACTGCTATTAAATGGTTCTCTGCTGATTTTCCTCTCATTAAGTCTCTCTGTATATATTTACTTCCTTGCTTATTCTTCCATACCTTCTCGGACATTAACATCAATGTGTTTAATGACTCATTGTCTCTACTTTCATTCGTTTGATGGGGATAGTCACTGATCCTTTCCCAATGCTCAGGCTGAATATATCAATATCTAATCTTAAATTCCCAAATGACCAATACACCATTGAAATTTTCTGGCTTTAACTTCAAAATACACCCATAGTCAACTGTTTTCCAAAATTTTGTTATGATGAGTCTAGCATAAGGAGACTACTTGTAAATATGTATATATTTTTTGGTACCGGGGATCGAACTCAGGTCCTTGAGCTTGTGAGGCCACTGAGCTAAATTCCCGGCCCTACTTGTAAATATTATTTGTTATACCCATGAGATAAGAATAACAACAGTAACAAGAACAAAAAAGGGAAAGAGGATATAGAGAAGAGAGAGGGAGGCAGGAGGGAAGAGAAGGCAGATTAGAAAAGAATCAAGCAGTATCATGAACTATTGTTTTTCCTCATTGAGTTTATTGGTACATTTAAGTACACAGTACAGTTAGATTCATTATTGGGATTTTGTACCTTTACATGACAAGTCTTGGTTATCATTTTTTCCCCTTGTCCCTGCCCTCCCTTCACCCGCTTATCATGAGTTATTTATTTGTGGTACTGGGAATTGAACTCAGGACCTTGTGCTTGTGAGGCAGGCATTGTGCCACTGAGCTAAATAAATCCCCCACCCTTCAACTTGTATTGTGTACAGGTGCCCACTCCTCAAAAGATTGTGAAGTGCAGGTACTTCAAACATGTACTAATAAAAATAAAAATTTAAAATACAAGCCTAATTTGTAATACTTAATCCCTCACCCTCAGCCATAATATAACCATAAATCTAATTCTAAACCTCAACCAAACAAAATCTCAACAAAAACCTCAACCTAACCTGCATCTTGCACCCTCACCCTAATCCTCATCCTCATTCTCACACAAACTCTAAAGGAACTTTGAGGATGTGACTTCACTTCCTTGGTGTTAGAACCCAACAAACCTTGGAACTCTGGTAACCAAGCACCCACACTTTGAAACTGTCTCCTGTGCTGATCACTTGGAGGGAGACAGTCAAGCAGAGAAGATGAGTTGTTGCTGTTTTCCCACTTTCCGAAGGTCTAGCCACAAAAAGGACCAGAATCCAAGCCTTTTCAGGTCTTGGCTCAGCTCTTGCTGCAGATGTTTCCACACAATGTTCAGGAGGAACCCACAAGTAAGACAGGCAGCCCAGGGCCCCAACAGGCGGCTAGCCCCACCCGTGACTCCTATGGGCAGTCCTTCACCCTTGGGCTCAGGGTATGTGAGGGGGCCTGCTTGGACAGGGGCAGGCTGTTAGGTGTCAGAACTCTGTCCTGTCCACCCCCACTTCATGGCTGCAAGTACAGCAAACAATGAGGACTACTAGTACACGGATCACTGCAGTCTACTTTGTCTGCTCAGAGGTTAGTCCACTGATCTCGAGCTGTAATCTTACATCTTCTCTGCCTGAAGATTATATACATTATATACACTCTATGTACCCTGATTTGGAGAGATTCTCTATGGAGTGTGCTCGGTGGGGACAGCCAGGAGGGGCAATGACAACTTTTGGCCCAAATGCCGGGCATTCTCTTTGCAGAGCTCCATGCAGATTACCAAGGAGCCTCTTGACAACGCTCCCTCCTGGAACCAAAGACAGCAGCACCGTAAGACCAACAGTGGGCCATGTTGGTCTAGGGTGCGAGTGAGCATGGTAGGGTCTCTACAGGTGAGGACTCAGCACAACCAGCGTGGGCCCAGGACCAAGATCCAAGAAAGGGGACCCACCTGGGTGGTGTCCTAGGGCCTTACCATAGGAATGAGCTGCAGTCCCATCCCCAAACGAACCTGGCCTTCATTATTTATTCCCCCTGAAACTCAAATAGGTGCAAAGTTTCATATCACATATTCATAGAAATATCAGAGAAAACATTTTCTGAATCATTTCCTTTTAAACCAAGCCCTGAGTGTCCTGGTTTAGTACCACTGCTTTTAACCAACTGCTCTAAGTACCCTGTGTGCAGTAAATTCCAATGCTCCTTGAGGCCTTCTACAGATTTCAACTCTCACAAGGGAAGTTCCACAAAGAGTGCCAGTTACACTCACACACACACAAAAATGTGCTAAGCTACTCTGCACACGTCAGCAGTGTCATCTCCGAACAGGTGACTGTAGCCCCACCAGGTCAGCAGCGGTGCCCTCACATGGCTGCATAATATTCCAATGCAAAAGGTAAACTCTTGCAGAAGGCCATCCTTCTACTACCGGTGGGATGAGGTGGGACTTAACTCCATTCCATCTCGGCCGTGAGGCAGAGTCTGTGCGTGACCCAATAGGCGGTGTCAGTTTTCCAAGGCTGTCGGAACACAATGGCACAGAAGTATATTTGCTCACAGTTCCAGAGGCCACATGTCAAGGTGCTTGCCAGAATGATTTCCTCTGAGGCCACCCTGGCATCTCCCAACATCTGTGTGAAAGACACACAGGGAACTGGGGCTTCGGTAACTGATTCTCAAGACTCCCCTTAACCTAACCTAAGGGAAAACAGCAGTGCTGCTTCCGTCAAAAGGGTTCTCCTGGGCCAGGGATGTAGCTCAGTGATGCTGTGCCTGCCTGGCAAGGTCCTGAGTTCGATCCCTGGTAACACACACACCCACACACACACTCACAGGTTCTCCTATCATTTTGGCCCAGGCTCTGTCCTCACAGTGGGGAGGAAAGGCAGCTTCCCCAGACCTTTCCTGTCTGTGTCAGGGGCAGACCACACATCAAGTGCCTCAGGGGGAAGTTCATACACTACTAGCTCTGGTGACTCTCACTTCTGACATGTGTGTCACTGAGCAGACACTTGTCATCCAGAAACATTGGTTTGCTCATCTCCACCCTGGGGACATTTCTGAGGACTCAGTGGCATAATCTCTTCGTGCAGATTATTAGGGAAGGCAGGTGCTGCTGCTCCACAGCTAACGAAATACCTTAAAGATACTTTGAAGATACCATTGTTTATCCTTCTCTGGCCTCACATTGAATTCCATCTTGAATCCTTGTCATGAGACACACCTGCCCTCTCTAGGCACAAACATGAGCACTTGAGTCCTCCTCATCTGAGCTCCATATCCCAGGCCTCTGGTGGTTCAGGGTGTTCTCTCTAGTGTGGAAATGAATCCACCCTGAACCTACAAAAGGCCTGCATGATGCGAACATGCCAGCCAGGCACACAGCAGAAGTTGGTGGGGATGCTGGTGCCATCCTCCCCAGTGAGACCCATCTCGTACTTCACCACCTTCCTGTGTTCATGCTGGGACTTTGACATTGTCCCATATTCTGTGGAGAAGCTCTTCAGTGGGTGAGTGTCTATCCCCTCGTACTGTGTTTTGGAAATGTCACTGTAGCTCTTCGGACCCCAACGTACTCCTCTGAAAGTGGGGTGGGTAAGGGGATAAGCCTCACAGGGTTTTGGCAGGGATAAACGGGCCTAAGACGTGGCAAGCTGGTACCCACTGCCTCCATCTGTACACAGGGTTCTGTGCAGGCTGTCCTTCCTCTATTCTTTTTCTCTGTTACTCCACTGAAGAACTTCTCTGCCCCGTGCCTCAACAGCACATATCCATCCACGTTTAAAACACATGCAAAAAGCAGATATGATTTCCAGCTTCCAAGGGATCTTTAGGTTTTATTCTAGCTGGTATTTTTCCTGTAGGCAGACTAAGCAAGGGAGCCTTGTGTGCAGAAGGGAAGCCACATATTAGGGAAAGGCATCTGGGGGGTGAATGCACTCAATCTGTGACCACATAACCTTTGTGTTGTGCAGGGACTTCTCTAGATTCATAGCCCAGTCCTATGAACAAAGACAATAACTACCGGGCTGCAGCTCTATTCAGGGAGGCAGACAATCCCTGTAGATCTCACAAGACACAGTCCAGGACCAGTTATACAGTGGGTGGACCCTCAGAACACAGGAGCGGTCAGAAATGGGGGATGGATACGAGACCTACGGCAGAGGACAGAAGGACAGGACCATGGAGCTCACAGATCTTGTGATTACTACAGGAGAGACATGGTCTTGGGGCTTCTTTGGCAGGAGGTTAGTCAGATAATGCTAGGGATGGAAGTTTGGCTTCCCTGCAAAGGAGAAGGGAGGGTGGGGCTCAGAGACGGCACCTGAAAGGCTCGTCCTCAGCACACTGGCTCTCAGCGTGGCCTGTCCTCCTCCACACCGACACACCCATCCCACCTCACAGAAGCAGGGGCCCAGACTGGAGCTGGGATCAGCACACTGCTCTCAAATCTGCCCGGAGCGCAGCCCGGAGCGCTCAGGTGCATAGTTTGTGCCTGCCTCGTTCAGAAAGGAATGTGCATATGAAGTGCAGACCCAGACAGTTAAAATTACCGAAGCCAGGACAGTCACAGAGGGCTCGGGCAGGCTCAGCTTGTCCTCTGGACAGAGAGGGGAGGACCAGGCAAGACGAGATGGTGTCTCACACGGGCAGGGTGGAAGCAAAGGCCGGGCCTCTGACTCTGCTGCTCCTCCATCTCTCCCCAGCACCATCGCGCGCGTTTTGGACACCCGTCCAGAATGGGGCCATCTGCCGTACATTCCCAAATTCAAGATCCAAGAGGCCTGCGTGCAGGTGAACTCACCTGGAGCAGACGTGGAGCCTCCCTTGCTCCTTCCCCTTGCTCACGGGGAGCATCCAGAGCCCTGCAAGGCAGAAACGGAAGGTGAGGGACGCAGCAGTCTGGAAGGCTTCCGTGGCTTTTGGTTGGGCACTCGGATTCCCAGAACTGCAGGGATGTCTCTTCTGTGCCTGACAGGTCACTGGGAAGTGACTAACAATGCCCAGCTTTCCTCCTTGCAGCTCCTGCTCCATATCCGGAGCAACATGGGCCAGCTCTGCAGCCAGAGCCAGCACCAGAGAAAGAGCCTCCTCTGGAGACAGGAGAGAAGCAGAAGCCAGCTCCACAGCACTCCTGTGTGTCTCCTGTGGCTGAGAAGGGCGGATCCCTGCAGAAGGTGCTCTTGGCCTTCTCTCCCAAGCTGCTGGCAGAACAGCTGACCTTGATGGACGCGGTGAGCAGCTGAGCTCTGTGGGCCAGGGCAAGGGTAGCCCACTCTTCTGGCACGGACCTTCTCAGTCCTGACATTCCCAGATTACCAGATCAAGGTTCCTCATTCTACAAACTGCGTCACCTCTGCTCGTCTCAGCCCCGAGCCACTCCTGGCCTCGTGTGGATGTAGACACTAGGACAGGGCACCCCTGTACCCGCTTCACAGAGCGCCCAGAGGGTCCACTGCGATTGGACAAATGGAACACAGGGTGAGGACTCGGCCCAACTGGTAGAGGAGAGTGTTCACTGAGGTGCAGGCGGGTGCATGTGTCACCTTGCCACCGTCCCAGGAGACCTGGCCAGCCTTATCACTTTGTAGGCATTTGAGATGCACCGATTCTACAGCAGACCCCCAGACAGAGACCCCAGTCACAGCTGGCACAGGGAATGGGCCAGGGACCTGGAGAAAGGAGCAGAGGGCAGGCGAGGTTGGAAATCAAACAATACCTCAGAATTGGCAGGACGGAGTCCTGTGCTAGTGCTGGAGGTTTGTAAGGATGGGCACGGAGAAACTGCCCCTGATTCTCACATCAGTGCCAAGTCCTGGGTCATGACTAAGGCCATCACCCATGGGCAGTAGACAAACCTCAGCCATTTGCAGAAGTCTCTGTCCATATCTACAGCTTCCTGATCTGCAACTCAGGCCACAGCCCCCTGCCTGTTGTCGGATGAAGCCATAGACTCTCTGAGGTGGGTTCTGCCCAGGTGACATTGTCCTCCTCCACAGGAGCTGTTCAAGAAAGTGGTGCCCTGGGACTGCCTGGGCTCCGTCTGGACCCACAGAAACAAAACGGGCAATGAACATCTGGTGCCCACCGTTCGGGCCACCGTCACACATTTCAATCTCGTGGCCGAATGTGTGATCACCTCCTGCCTCGGGGACCCCAGCATGAAGGCTAGAGACAGGGCCAGCATGGTGGAGCACTGGATCCAGGTGGCCAGGGTAAGTGTGAGAGGGCAC